TTTGCGTTTCACTTTACCTTCTGATTTCAAACACCGATGACGTTTATTTGATAACGGTTACAAGGGTGATTTGTTGATGAAGCAAAGCCACTAAACACAGTAACGATAAGATATCTACTTTGACATGTAGTTATGAGAAAGCATTTAGACTGAATACAAATGGCATTCAATTATAATTATGTATGATTCTGAATATGTGTGAACAACACATTTTCTCATTACATAACATGAGTTGCATGTTACCGTACTATCAAGATTTTGAATGGGAGTTTATTTGAGAAAATCGAACATCGGAACGATTTTATGAATCTTTGTAACAGTGAATGAAAAATATTAAGATTGGGATGTTTTATAGATGAGAGTTCAGTATAAACGACTGTCTATTGTATTTCTTCATTTATTCATTTGATATTCACTTAGTTCACTTATCAAGGAAATTTCAAGCGACCATTCTTTTGATCCGCTTCTTATTGCCGCATATAAACTTCATTAACATATATGCAACTTTCCATGCTGATCGATATTTTTGTCAGTACGTTCAGTACAAAACGCATTGTAAAGTTTTGCAAATATGATTTATGAAATGCTGAGGGTCGGAATAATTTATCTTACTGTTGAGAAATTCTCAAGATTTCAAGTTAAGACCACAAGTATCAGTAAAAATTGAGGATCATTTTGGTTGTATGTCGTACATTCGAATTGTTAGTTTGTGAATAGTACTTAGAATATGGTCATTTTTATTATCCCAGTCTCTGAATGGTCGTCAAAGATAATTTGTTCATTATGACAGATTTGTAAACGTGAGAAGATACCATTTCATGACCAATATAGTAATAACACTGTGTTCTGATTGACCGCTCAAGAAGTTAGAAAAATCATAGTTTCAAAGTAATGCATCTAATAAGGAAGAGACTCAACTATTTTAAATCAGGGTTGTCATTCAGCATTTAATAAAGTTGCGTGCAGTATATGATATTATCAAATCATCTCAGCTAGATTCCTTGTTTGATTAACACTTGATATCGAGCATGTTTGTATATCTCTGTAAATATTTTAGACGTTCTCATACTACTAGCACGTTATTTTACATGGTTGTTTATTTCGACCAACTCTGCATTTTACGACGGACTGGTTCGCATACAAAATACATTTATATACGAAGATATATAAATGGCAATATGTTATATCTTTCTGCAATATAAAACATAACATCATTTTCATTATAATTATTTGTGATAGACCAAACATCGTGGGTTTGAGTCCCTGAAGCAGAGTCATGGATGAGCATTGTTAATTAGCCCCATACTACTACGAAACGTTGACTTATTATTTTCTGGTCTTCTTTATATTCCATAAAACGTCTTTCAGGCTTGATATGTGCTATTAGCACCATGTATGTTTAAGATATAATTACTAAGTTTTCGTTTCTGTGCGGTTTATGGTTTATAAAGTTGGATAAAGCTCATTTTATTATTTATATATGTTTAAGTGAAAGGATGTAATGGCGATCACATGAGTTGAATAACGGCAAATCAATGTATTTGGTAGAAATTTAGTTGTATCTAATAAATGAAATCTGGAGGCCTAGGACAGGTTCGAAATAATTTCATGAAAAGATAAATCTGAATCAAGTTGGTGACTAGTTTCAGCTAAATGCATTATAACAAAGCGTCTTATTTCTTTGTTCCATCCATTGGTCAACAACTATAACTATGAATTATCTCCAAATGCCCACACACCATTGCGTTCTTTGAAATATTTACTGTTTCATTCATTAGAATCGCTACTGCTTTATCAAGTTTATTATTTAGCAAATTCTAATTTGCCTTCCCTCTGAAATATGATTACACATTTTTAAAGCTAATCTAATTCGGTAAACTTTAATCTTTCAAATCTCACTTCTTCCTTATTCATCATTTTATGCATTATGCTCTACTACATTGAGTTCAGTTATGTTGCTTCTTTTTTATTTTCATTGACTGTTTACTATGAACTACTGTCTAAAACTCAGTAATATAACCTAGTCAGTCATTTTCTAACGTGCAACAAAACACCTCTTGGTTGCAGTGTAAGGTTTATAGGAATACGTCCTGATTTCTGATGGGTAATCTATCTTGCAATTGTAATTGTGGCTATTCCCTGTTCATGGTAATTTATGCTAACTTATCTTAATCGTTTTGTTGGCTTTCATTTTGCTATCTCACAGATTGTTATTCTATGCCACTAACAATTACATATTGTTACTTGATTAGTCTTACGATAAAGTAGATTATTCTTATATACTTACTGAAATATGTGGTACTCCGTTCATCTTGTTACACTAGTTTAGAAATGTAAGAGATATCTCATGGATCCAGGTTTGTAAAGGCAATCGTTTAAGGAGTATGGCAAGTGAGCTAGAATTTTTTTTATTGCTATATAGATAACACTTTATAGCTACAAAAAACGGGGATAGAAAATACATCTTATCAAACATGTTAAAAGGAAATCACCAAGCCGTCAGTTATACGAAGTAAAAGTGAGATATAGAAATCGAATTTGCGAAAATACCAAAAGAAGTAATGAAAATATATGTTCATTTTAAAACAAGAAAACTAAGTCAGGTTGAGTATTTTGTGAAATTTGGCTGGGTGTCTGTAATGGTTATAAAGTAATTTGCTTGGATGAAACTATCGAATCTGAAATAAAACGTACTCCTAGCTTACTGGATAGGAAGTGATTATTCATCAAAACTCTTCAAGAAACAGATTTATTCGACTGAAAATAATGTGGAATCATTTTGAATGTAAAAAAATATCATTGTTCTTAAAACTATATTTCAAATGTAAGAGAACCAACACAAGTGTGGTGAAATATAAGAGATAGCTCCTAGAATATTATTCAGTGCAGTAAGTCCATGTTCGTCTTTCTCCTACATTAACGGTAATCTGCCTAGTTCTTTCGAGTCTTTTTAAAATCAACAGTCCAAATAATCTTGATGCACCAGTTATCGCGAACATGCAGCAAGTCAAACTAATCATAATATTCTTAAATATCCTTAATAATAGTTGACTGAAGGATAAAAATATGGCAATAAGAGGCTCAATCCTGGCACACTTAGATGGTTCTAGTGACTTATGTTCGAAAGTCATACATAAAATACCATTAGAACTGCTTTGTCCTTTAACGTTTTATTTGTTACATAGAGCTGAATTCACAGGAATACGCTAAAGTAAACCTAACTTCTGTATTGAGACAATGTTTGCAAAAACAATTATTTTCCCTGAATTTCTTCTGAATTTCAAAATTATGTCTATCATTATGTTTCATTATCGTCTCAGTCTTATTTTTACGTTCTCCCTAACAATTTGTCAATCTAATTTCCATGTCATTCAGTTTATGAAAAAGTCACTATTTTTACAAATAGCACTCAAGATTTGTATGTGAGTGAGTTTAGGTCGCAATACAGAGGAGTCCCATACTAAGACAAAACGGCAATTCAGTGGTTTCAGGTTTTTAATAGTGGTCTAACATTGATCTCTTCATGTTCTCAATCAAAACTTAAAACAACTTCTCATTAAAGGTTTCGAATTTATGAGAGTAAATAATGGCATTAAAATCATATTTGTAAATCATTTTATTTCTAAAATAAAATGAATGAACTTCACCCTGTAGTTCGGATGCACCATGAAATACCATCAATAATACATTAAAATTTTAATCTTAGACAGGGACAACTCTTTAATTTTGGTCATGTTATCATAACAGTCATAAAGATTAGTAAACGTAACCACAGAGTTCACGAATTAAAATTATATTTTAGTGGCCCGGGATCTAACTCCTATTAGATCATATGAATGTTATTGAAAGATACGTATCGTTAATCCTCGTATATTATCATCGACCTAATCCACGTTGGCGTATAACGGAATTAAATAAGTCGATTATCAGAATGCATTTTTGAACACGTATATTTTGTACACTAATTGATTTGGACAGACAATCAGAGGAATGAAGAGAGGAAAGCGAAGAGAAGTGAGCGAAGCGAAACGGCTCTCAATAGAGAAAGCGTGTGAACCAACTCCATTTTATCAAGCTATAGTCAATATTTATCGTCACACAAAAATAAGTGATAGACATGTCATGAATAAAATAAGAGGTTTACACACATACGCTCATGTAATGACAGTCAAGGTTTGTTAGGTGAATAATTAACAAGGTCAAAATGTGCCTCAAGAGGAATAGATAAATCGGCCAGTTCAGAAGCTAGAATGAGGTGTATGGGATTGACATAGTAACCGATACTACAATATGTATTCCAGAGGCTATGGCAACTCATCCATTTAACTCTGAACTCTAAGACCTAACGCCTTCGAAGCAACTACTCATTCTATTATGTCTAAATCCTTCAGTTATATTTTGGTTTAAATTTGTTCAGTAAACAGTTGTTATTGTTTTCTTCCAACTTTTTATAACTAATATTAGGTTATTATTTCATAACATCACAACCTGCAGTTTCGCTTCATTTATTGAAGCAAATAATTATCTCACTACTAGTCTACGAGTTAGTTTCATATGTTGAATTCTTTTCGTCACATCTTTTTCTTAGTTTTCCTTGAAGTATCTGAATCCTTTTTATCATAATCTCTTTTCTATTTCACCATAAACTAACATACTTAATAGACAGAAATTTACAGTTTCATGGAAGATGGAATTTTTGACTGGGAATGTTTTCATATTTCATCATCATCATCATCATCATCATCATCATCATCATCATCATCATCGTCATCATCATCATCATCATCATCATCATCATCATCATCTTCTTCTTCTTCTTCTTCTTCAGTTAACAATATTCACCGAGAATCAAATGTTTAATTATTACGTATTCTGTAACTTTGTTTATAGTATTAACAAATCACCTTAAAGATTTATAATAATTGGTTAATATATATTATGCTTTCATAATAAAAGAACTTTTTAGATCTTTGAAATTATTGTTATTGTTTACACAGGTTATGTCAAAGCAAGAAAATAAAAGATTCGTACAGTATGGAATACTTATTATAAGTTCATTAGTGATAATATCAGGATGTTCATTCATTATCTATTTTGTCTTAACTAAAACTGGAGGTGAGATATACTTTAAAAACAACTTTTGCTACATAAACATTTTGATCATTTCACTGTACATAATGAAATTCAATATATATCTCGGACGAGATCATTTAGAATATTAGTGTATATAATCACATGTGTTATTAATAATTTTAAACGTATTAATTATGTCAATAGTAGAACTCAATCACAAATTATATACCATTTCTTCGAATCACAACAAAGTTATCCTAGTGTTATTTATGTTTGTATAAGAAAAATAAGGCAAAACCTTTAACCCTATGGCATATTTGAACATGTATTTATGATTATTATGTATATAGTCAGTGATTACAACATTCTCTTTGAAATCTAACAATATACTAAAAATGCTAGACAATGCCGTTGAAGCTGTGTGTAAACCTTCATAGTTGACTAGAATATTATTTTTGCTCCCATGATACTGTATAAAGAAATAATAAAAATTCATAGACAGATAAGAAATTTACATGGAACATTTTCAAATCTGTTACGTCCTTGATCTGTCTACCCACATTCGTGCCGAGGATAACTTGTCTAATGTCGATTATGAGCTTGAAGCGATAGGCTGACTGGCTTAACCTTGAGGCTAGTATGCGTGAATTCGAAGTGGGGTAGAGAGAAGAAAACTATTCTACCACCTGACTGAATGACAAGCAGGCGCGGGTGGGAGAAGACCAGACAACTGGAACACTACTCGATTTAATCCCAGATCCTATCTGGTACCCGATTTCAGATTAGTGTAAAAGGATACATAAATAAATCGATGACTAACCCGTCCACAACCTACAACAACAATGTCCAAAACTGGGGAATTAGAGTAGAAAATAGGGTACAAAAGGTTACGTCTAAATTACAATAGCTTTGGAACAGAAAAGGCTATGGTAGTAAATCATACATCAAACGAAAGCTTATGATCTGTAGGACAGACTACGGGCAAAAGTAAATGTTACTTTTTTATAAGCTCCGAATTCTATGAAATAAAAATAATAGCTTCCGTAGTTTATCAAGTCTTCTTGTTTCTCTGTTCACATCAAAATCACAGTGATTATTTAACTAACAAATATGGCTAACTAGAAAGTGAACTTGAAATTAAGACATTGACGTTGGCCTATTTTAATAGACTGTGAAAGTAAAGAATAATGGTACGTGATACAAAAAATGATAATAGTCATATTTCAGTAGGATATATATTCAGAATTTTTGGTAGTGTTCATACAGTCTACAAAAAATAATCGCATTCAATCTACCAATACATGATAATATTGCATAAAGACGTACTGTGAAAGAATAAGAAGTTGACTCGGTTCAAAAGAAGAACGCAGTTAACTTCTTATGTGATTCTACAGTCTGAAACATATACCAGTTACAATCATTTTTACTCATATACATTACTTAGTATATCAGAAAAACAGAGCCTTTGACTTAACTATAAGCTTGCACTTAGCTTGCTAATTTTCATTGATCTGTAAACAAAGCAAGTTGTTTATACATTTTTCTATAACACTTCAAAGTCCTGTTTATATGTTAGTCATAAAAAAAGAAGAAACTTGAAGTTACATACCATCAAAACAGTAAGATAATCCTAAAAATGAAGTCCACCCACTTGCTCAATATAGTCAATAATTTTCACAGTCAAATTTTTTTGTAGAGCCAAAGAATTTGGCAACTTATCTTACGAACGACACAACCAACTCAACTATCTCAAGTGCTTGTCATGATTTTTACCATTTTGCATGTGGAGAATGGGAAAAACGAAATCCTTTGATTAGTCAGGATGCTAGTCGGACTACTTTTGATGCAATGCGAATGAAGACCAATTATTACTTCTGGAAAATAATTGGTAAGCTTTACTGTAATTGTATTATTATGATCAAATGTTTGTTATTTCATGCCATTTCATCATTATGAAGTATTTTCTAAAATTCAAATAATTTGACACTAACTACTTTATTTACAGTGATTTCAAATACGAGTTTTCACTTATTACAAATGTAATAAGCAGTAATATGAATGAACCCTTATTAACTCTGTATGAGTAGCCATGTCCTATATGAGAATATCAGTGATTTTAAGTTATCCTCAATCACAATAGATTGTTTGAAAGTGAAATATTCAAGAAAATAGTTAGTAGGCTGTTATACAGTAGAAGACAATAATCAGAAGAGGTTTTGTGGAGATTTCAGTATTTTTCACAGTTAAAATCATGAGTCAATTGAAGCTAGACCACCATGGAAAACCTGGGAGCATTGGACGGCCGTTTCGTCCTATTATGGGACTCCTCAGACTGGGTTCGAATCTTGGGAGTGCGGGATCGTGGATGCGCACTGCTGAGGAGTCCCACGATAGGACGAAACGGCCGTCCAGTGTTCACAGGTTTTCAATGGTGGTCTAGCTTCAATTGACTCATGATTTCAACTATGAAAAAGACAATAATTTCTTTTGATTTATACAGTTTTTAATCAAATGACACTTCTTTGTTCAATCTACATATATTTATGTTAATAACGGGTATATTGAAGCTGATGAGTCTTACGAAATAGAAGATTCACATTTACAGAACGCTCGAAAGTTTTACAAATCTTGTGTATTCAATCGTGACTTGAAAACAACCAAATTAACTTATCAATTATTAATACGTGATCTTTTTGGTGGATGGAAACTAATACCGTCAATTTCAACAGACACGGAAGTAACTGATCTAACTGATCTATTTCTATCAATATTAAGTCATACTGGCAGTTCACATTTATTTTCACTAAATATTGAGGAGAAAATTTTCGCCATAAATGTAAGTGTTTCTTTCATAAATCTAATAGAATGTTTTTAAAAATTCATTTGCTTGAAATCTGTCAAAATCCCTATTAATGCACTAAAATGTTTAGTGTTAGTCGCTATGGCGTTGTGAGTGGGGTATCGATTGACTTACAGCAAATGAAATTACGATTGATGCTGATTGTTCCTCTTACTATTGTTAATTATTGTTACATAATTTGTGTCTATCTGTAAACTTTACAGTAAGATAAATGTGATTACTTAGTGATAATAGGCATTATATTGTAATTCAGCATTTTCGGTTTGAGATTTTTCAATTCACCATAGTAAAAGTGACAATGAAACAAATAGATAAAAATTGAAGTGGATCCTACTCTTTAAATATGAATGGCACTACTTTGTCATTTAAGGCGAAACTTATCAGCATCATAAAATGGATCTGTTGGATTCAATCAGTAGTTGAGAACAATCTGTCTCATCTCAAATTCTTCTACATGAAAAACTACGTAAAAACTAGAACTTCATATCCATTGTAATTACCTTGGAAGTGATACGTTGAATCTGATTCGAAAACAATAAGACATCATTAGTTGATCTTTTGTTTTGTTTAGCAAAGTGATGTGATCTTTTGTCAATCATTAGAAAAATAAAATACAGTTATAACAACATTCCAATATAAACGCTTTCATTAAAATCTGTCTACCTGGGTCGTATGTTTACCATTAAAATATACTTTATAATGTCACATGAAATTCTTTCGCAATTTAACGTTGTTTAAATTGTTTTACACAATATCGACTAGTTACATTGAACAACGGGGTACTGATACTCCATGATTCATATAGTCACTAACTGCTCACCATTTGTATCTTAGAAAACTCTAATCAATGAAAAATGAAGTATGTTTGGCTACACGGCGTTCCAAATAAATTACAGTTGTTTCGTCATGTCACTGTCAAAAACAAACTGTATTACAATATATTCTCATAGTATAATTTCGTTAGCAAATATAAATAGGTTTCAAAAGAGGGGTTTGTGGAGGTTTATTATGAACATCCATCAGGTTCTATAAGCGATAATCTATTATTCAAGAAAATCTAGGAATTCAGTTTTACATATAAAAACATAAATGGCTTCACTGGAATCCACTGATAGATCAATTTGTTAAATTACATGAAAAATTTATAAGTACACTCAATAATCAATACTAAATCTCCACAAAACCCCTTCTGATAATCAATTGAGAATTAAATGACGTCTAGTACACATCGGAATCAGGGAACTATATCAACATTTACAAATGTCCCACTTGAGTACTAATGATAAAAATAAGATTAACAGAATTTGTTTTCTTATCATTTGTATTATTCTGTTCATTGATAATTTATTTCTTCCATAATTCCATTCAATTCCATTTTATTATACTACAATGATCAGATTTCACCAGGTCGGATAGTGTTTGATTCTGGTTCAGAATGGGTAAATTTTACATTTGTTTAAAATTTAGGTAGTTTTTTAAGTATTTCAAAAATAACTTCAGCTCTCTAACTCATAGTTATGTAACTAAGATATCATATTAAACTTTAACATTAACACATTGTTACTTTATTTAACAAAATGATTAAATACCCTTTGTTTTATTAGAATCCATATTTTTTATACTTTATCATGACATCAAACGTGTGCTCCTCGCTATGAAACCAATTTACGTCATTTTAAGACATTTGTTAAATAGCTTCTGCTATATGAAGGAGACGGGAACGAACTCCGTTGGGAAATGATGGAGGTATACGATAGATCACTTGGAATGATTTAGATTTATCTACAATATGACCACTATCAATTAGATATACCAAAATGTAACTGCGTATTGTTTTTATCTGGCCCTTCTCAAACCATTCTGGTAGATGTTCACTCATTCATTGGTTAAGTTGCCTAGTAGTACGTCCGATATAGCTATCTCCACAGGAGCAGATGAACTTATAAATGCACATTGAGAAGGCCAACTCAGGTAACTTATCCTTCGTTTAAGTAGACATCACTGGTCGACTCGAGAAAGTCAATGCAAGATAGGCTGCGTAGAATGTCCTACCAATTACATCAGTTTCAGTTTCAGTTTCGAAAGGACAGGAGGCTTGATGGCCCGTGTTAGTCATGGCATTGATGGTCTCTCAGCTGATCCAACTTTCTTTTGAAGGAGTCGACGGATGGAGCCTGAACCACGTACTGAGGTAATGAATTCCACTCGTTGATTATTCGATGGGAAAGTCGATATTCAGCTGACAAGTAATTTGTTCTGTGTTTGTGAACGTTTTTGGACTAGCGATGACGCTCAAGTCATTGTGTGAATGGACAATATTTAACTCAGTGTTATTCATCGTGTATGTATCTGTACCCTGGTGGCCAATATGCATCACAATACACTTGGAAGTGTTTATCGGCAATTGCCAGGTTTGAGACCATTCAGATAATCTCTCCAGGTCATTTTGAAGTTCTAAGCTATTGCCCTTGCTTTGTATCGCTCTCCAAATCTTGACATTTCCAGCATAGAGTAAGACCGATGACGATAGTAGACGAGGGAGGTCATTTACGTACAGGAGGAATAACACTGGCCCCAAAACTGTACCCTGGGGGACTCCACTAAGCACAGTTTCCCAGCTAGACAAATTGGAGTTCACCCTTACTCTTTGTTGACGCCCAACTAGGAGGTCTTTTATCCACATCAATAGATTGCCTTCAATCCCGACATCCCTTAGCTTATATAACAGCCGGTTATGCGGAACTTTGTCGAAAGCTTTGCTGAAATCGATGTAAGCTACGTCTATAGGTAACTTTTGGTCTTTAAGAGCGCACCAGCTTTCGTTAACCTATTTCTTAAATAATAAGAGATCAAGTTATTGTTAGTTTTAACACAGATTCTGATAACGAATTGTTACATGCACAATAAATCGAGAAATAAATAAGCACACAAAGTGATATGATATTATGCATTGTCAACAATATAACATAAATACCATTATAAACAATTCAGGATAACATATTATTTTCAAACTATATTAATATTGTGTCTGATGAAGGTACATAAATGTTTACACTTACAATATGAAATGACTACCTTTCTATGCAAATATCTGTATCTGTTTCATCTTATTAAAAGTCCCATTTATACCAATGCTACGTTTTCTAATTAAAAAAAATGTTCAGTGTGAACTGTCAGAGTATGAACCTAAATGTCATTGATAAACATGGTAAAATAACTAATTCATCGTCATTTTCAACTAGAACAATCGATAAATGTTACGTCACAATAGAAAAACCCAAAACTGTTTGTATATTTTCAAGATATTTTTACATCTTGAATAACGATCATACATATTTCATGAATAAATTCTGTTTAATATCAAGGTGCATTTCAACGTCTCATTAACTCATTTTTATATATGTGCTTCAATATGAGTAAAGGACGTTTTATATCTTATTTAATAGACTTCTATTGATGAATTCGAAGTGATTTACAACAAGATTGCATTTGCAATGGGAGTACCTTATTCTAAGCAATCTGAGATAAAGGATGCTTTCCTAATGATGATCGATCTAAGCAATGTGAGTTTACTTACACATAAATTCGTCGATATTAAAATCACTAATTGACTCGAGCCAAAAAGACACTGGAAGCCTGTAGGCACTAAATGGGCGTCTCGCTCTAATTAGGGATTCCTTAGCAATGCACATTAACAACCCTCCACTAGAGCATTGAACTCAGGATCATAGGACTTGCGCGCGGGTGTTGACGGCATCCGATGGTGTCAATGTCTAAACTTAGTAAGTCCTTGATCTTGGCAAATCATTCATCTATTGCTGATGTAGATAACTGCCTTACACCAGACACAGACTGAACATTACCGGTCACATCTTGTCATTAGATCCTCAAGAGTTAAAACTTGAAGCTAGCCAATAGTAAGCATATAGTCCCACATCATGTTAAAACGGCCACTCAATGATTACAAGTTTTTCAATAGTAGTCTAGCTAAGATCAGTTTGTGATTTCAATATTAAAAATACAACAAAATCAGCAAATACTAAATAAATTTGTGTTTATATTTCCAATATTTGATTCAATTATACTTTTAATAAGTTCCAGAAGTATTCATTCAAAAAAGTCTTCTAAGCAAACAACGAGTAGAACGCTTCATTAAAATATCAATAATATCCTGCTTTGTGTGTAGTAATCCATGTCCGGATAGTTTACTTTCGTATGCTATCACAAAATAATATAACGTCAAAGAGTTATATAAGTATCGATGGATAACCACAATAGAAATGTCTAAACGACGATATTCGGAGCAATTTTCAAATACTCAAAAGTTGTCATACAAATTTATGGAGTTACAAAAAAACCTTAAGATAAACATTTTAAAAAACACTTTTAGTATTGGGTAGAGAAGCTATAAATAAGTCAAATTATAATTAATTACAAGTAGTAAGTATTCGACCGATGAATTTAAGTTGTTGAAAAAGGAATGGATTTCAAAGGAAATTTACTGTAACCTGGAAGCAATGAACGGTCGTTTCGTCCTACTGTAGGACTCCTCAGGAGTGCACAACCACGATCCCACCTCGCGAGATGCGCACTGCTGAGGAGTACCACAATAGGACGAAACCGCCGTCCAGTGCTTCCAGGTTTTTCATGGTGGTCTAGCTTCAATTGACTCTTGATCTCAACTATATGAAATAAATATCAACTATAATAAAATAATGAACTCTATAAAATAATTCTATTATCTTCTCAAAAAATAAACAACAATGGGAAATCTAACTACCTTAAGATAAAGGAATTTTTCACGGTTTTAGCTATTACAAAAGATTATTAAAGTTCTATAATTGTAAGAGGTTATGTCATGCAGTTAATATTCATCATTGTTCCGTCGAAATAAACAAGTCATTTATTTCATTACTGATTGTTGCTAAGTGGTTAACAAGAATGTTTTGGATTCAACAAAAAAAATTAATCATTGGTCAATTACACTTGATTAGTGTACTAGTTAGTAATGATGGGAGACTAAGAAATCGCTATGAACACTGAGGATGTTTTGCTTGGAATTAAACTTCTCATTACTTAATTTCGCAAATCAGTTCTACTGTAACTAGATGGAACATAAATATGTTGCCAGATTTTGTTATGAAACATTTTTGTAATAAAAAAACATACTAATCTTATAAACAATCGATCAGTATGAGCATGTGATTGCATCATATGAAATATTATTTACATTATTATCATAGAAGATAACAAGTGATTGATCACCGGGTGGTGATCAATGTCATGCGTGTCAAGTCCTTCTTAGTGCTGATTGAATGCTATCGATCAAGTTGCAATGTGGCCACTAGTCTAGGTGGCTCGACACTGCGTGCATTATATTGAGATAAGATGGTGGTTGGAGGTGATCATAGAAGATGTGTTTCAGTAAATTTACTGAAATATAACTAAACAAAAGAGTGATTTAACAGTTGTTATTCCCTAAGTATTAAAAAGAAGAAAAACAAAATTCACCTATATGCATTTTTGTGGAACAGTGACAAGTATTTAGGACTTTCCTTATCTTCCTCCCCCTCCCAGATGTAGTTAAAATTAAGAAATTACAATGGCTTTAATAAATGCTATTTTGTATGATGAATTTTTAGAAGATACCAATTCCAAAAGGAATTCATTTGAGTGAATTAAATGGAATTATTTCAATTGAAGAATTACAATTAATTTGTCCTCAGGTAAGTTTTATTTCATAACTTACCTGAATAGTATAGTTTTTATCGTAATACAGTTTAGCTGAAACTATTGAAAACGTGATTAGCAACTACCTATGAAATAGATACTTCTTTTCACAGTCTGCATCATAAACTGACCTTATCTGGAAATCTAGAACATGGTGAACAGCTCTTTTAACTGAAAACTAGCTTCAGCCAACTATGACCCTTGATGGTAGAGCACAAGTCTTACGGCGTGTGTTTATTCTTTAGACTAATGAACCACTGAATGTGAACTGAACAAATGTCCTATACTAGAAGGAAACAGATTTACAGCACCACCTGATCTTTCCATTGTTATATAACTAAGATTAGTTAGAAATATAATCTACAAAATTCAACTGTCCTCACAAACTTTTTATGCTAAAACATTGTTTAGTTCCAAAACGGTCAGATAATGACCACTGCATTTAATTTTTCAAAACTCTTGAATCATTGCTGCGCCCCTTTTTGTAAATTTCTGTAACACCTTCATTTTGTTTAATTTACTTATACAGATCAATTGGGATTATTTATTTGAAAAATTACTACAAGAAACTGGATATGAAAAATACAATCAACTATCAATCATTATAGAAAAACGATATCAACTTAAATATCGTTGTGAAAAATATGGTGATATAATGAAGAGAGGAGATAAAGGGTAAAATGTACTTCATTTACTTTATACTTACTTATTTACTTATGCCTGTTACCCCTCGTCGAGGAGCATAGGCCGCTCACCAGCATTCTCCATCCAACTCTGTCCTGAGTAATCCTTTCCAGTTCTTTCCAGTTACGATATGCGTGTGACATCGAAATTTCGATTATGTAATATGAACCAGTAGATGAATGCAATGATATAATAATGTAGTGAATAAAACACGACTGGGGACAATCGAATGTATTTAAGGACAAATTACATACTATCTTACTAAATTCTGATAACCATATACTTACTTACTTACTTACTTACTTACGCCTGTTACCCCTCGTCGAGGAGCATAGGCCGCTCAACAGCATTCTCCATCCAACTCTGTCCTGAGCCTTCCTTTCCAGTTATTTCCAGTTGTTATTCATCCTTTTCATATCTGCTTCTATTTCCCGACGTAATGTGTTCTTTGGCCTTCCTCTTTTCCGCTTCCCTTCCAGATTCCAAGTTAGGGATTGCCTTGTAATGCACATTGGTGATTTCCTTAATGTATGTCCTGACCACTTCCAACGTCTTTTCCTAATTTCCTCTTGAGCTGGAAGCTGGTTTGTTCTCTCCCATAAAAAGCTGTTGCTGATAGTATCCGACCAGTGAATGTTGAGTATTTTGCGTAAACAACTGTTTATAAATACTTGTGACTTCTTGACCATGGGTGTAGTAGTTCTCCATGTTTCAGCTCCCATTTGCTTTATAGTTAACAACAAATATAAGACTTTAACTTTCAGAATTTTGAAAAAAAATATCAGCATTATCCTGGGTAAATATTTCTGTTCATCAAGTGAAAACTGACAAGTCTAAGCTGAATTTTTATTTATTTAAACGAATGGCATTAAAAACATGGATGCTCTGATCTAAAACACTATGTTATTACACTTTCTATAGAAAGACGTTTGCTAACATCCATTTAGAGCTTATTGCCTATTATAATAACTGGGTTTCCGTTTACACCGAAGTGACATATCGATATGAAACATGTAGTAAATATTATGTACTAGATACTGTTTATCAATCATTCTGAATATCATTAATTCTCATCTTTCAGGTAAGCGAAATACGAGGCTTTTCAAACTTTAGTTAGGTTAAAACAAACTGGCCACTCTTTGTTCACTTTGAGTAGAACCAATAAAAAGAGTTTGTAAAGTCATCTTAGATTACCATTAAAAGAATGTCAAAGATCTACTTGGATGCTATTTTAGTTGGCCCTGAGAAGCTGGACAGCTCGTTTACGTCAGTACTATCATACCGTACAAAGTTTTCGGGACATTTGTATGACTGGATATACTAATTTTAGTGTAAGTAAGAACGGAGATTTACACAGACAAAGCCTATGAAACAGAAAATATAAGGTTATAATTCGTATCCAGTGTTGCGAGACTTATCACAACCCGAAAATAAGACAATTTTACTCTGCTAACGAACATCTGCTGAATACAACACTGGTTCCATACACGTTTTAGGGTAGTTTTCCAATATCTAATAAGAAATTTTAGAAAATCGTTGCAACACAAATTATATAATCCATTTTTCCTCCTTAGTATCGTTAATTAAAAATGCCATTTGACTGATCCGCCAGTACTTCGTTATTGATAAGGATCTATAAAGATGAATCATTAGCTGTATCTAATTCACTGCTCTTACTAAATGACTTGTGTAAAATCCATTAGACATATTTACAAGTTCACACTTCATATGCTTGTTTTGGTACAAAAATATTGTAGATAACCTGTTCCACGCTGTAGAACAATATTATAGACATATTATTACTGATCGATGCAAACTTACAGAGGGGGTCTTACTATATTTTCACAGTACTGGTTACATTAAAGCTCTTTTTCTTTTAACTTAACGTCTTTCTTCAACAGTACACTTCGTACAATGATTATTATGGAATTTTTGGTACAACAAGTGTTACATGCGCTGACATTCTATACCAATGGAACAGACAGCAACTCAAATTCATGTAAATATAAATTTCATGTATTTATTTGCTTAAATTTGAAATTCAATAAACAAACAATCCAGCTTGTATTAAACAAGTGACGGTTATCTGAATATACACAAATTCAGATATATTTTAACTGGTGCGCCAAATATTTGATTACATTTTTCGAAACCATATACAGTAGTTAAAATCATGATTTGATGCAAGCAAACTTTCTGACGTTGACAGATATGTTCAGGATGGTGGCTGTAGTTGTACAGCATTACCATGTGAAAGTACATTTCTAAAGATTTATTCTCCGACAAACAATCGCCAAATTTCAAACAAGATATACATTTCGAATATTTTATATATCCATATCAAAATCAATTACGTAAGTAATGATCAACTATCAGACAATATTATCTCTCAAGTCACTATCACACACGTTATATTAAAGTTTCATTTAGCTGAACTATTTACCAGAATTAAAGACATCTGAATAATGATCCTCAAAGTTGGAGACAACTTATACAAGGCATTCAAGTAGTCAACATTGTTTTATGGTAGCATATTTACTAAGATTTACTACAATACACAACAGTTTTCATGTACACGTACAGATATTTCCAGACGGAAATTCATGAGGATGGGATAAAAAGCTACATTTCTGATGATGTTCATGAATATAACAGTTATCACAGAGATTTCAAATCAGATTTTAACTGCACATCACTTGATAAATATTCTCGTAATAAAAAGACGGTTGTATGTAGATCAGCTCAGAACAAACTTTCTAAAATCATATCGAATGATGTTTTGATAAGCTAAGTGTTGATGAGCTGTATTTGTAGAAATCCACAAAGGAGTGTTGAATTCTGATATTGAAGCACAGGGGTTCGTCAAATGAAGAAGGATAAAGTCAAACACTTGATAATCACTGGCCGCTAGCATCAATTAATATACTAATAACCAGTATAAAAACGTTGTCTATCAGCAAAAACCATATAAATAAACAAAGTAGTAGTTACCATTCGAAATAAAACTTCCTATCGCATATCTGTATAATTTAACAGAAGAAATATATACATATAAACAAATTCAGCATGTTAGAAAATCCCATCAACGTATGCCATCATCACTGAACCAATGCAGATTTATTCATCATTGTCACTTTCAGTCATATCGACAGAAACAGAGTGACTTAAAATAGTACGTCTTAATATTCGAAGCAAAGTAATGAACGTAAATAGCTATTTGGTTAAACATTATTTTTCAATATATTCTTGGACAACTTCACGTTGAAGCAAGTATACGAATGGTTGAGTACACAAGTAGTCATGGATACTAGATATGTAAACACTGGATTTGCACGATAGAGTGTCATGTGTTTCATAGGGAATATCAACATGAACTTTATATTTGCCGACATACTGACTGATTCGGTTCTTTCCTTATATAAATTCATTTGATCCTCCCACAACATAATATTATTTCATTTTATTTAAAATAGCTTCACAGCCACATTTTGATGAGCTATGTATAAGTCAGTTGCAAAATGCATTCCCATGGACGCTTGAAAGACATTATATCCGTTCTCATGTAAACGAAACACACAAAACGGAGGTTAGTTCATGTCATATTTTACTTATTTACAATGTTTGTACAGTAGACCCTCTTAGCAATAATATGAAGTCGTCAGATGATGAAATGAGACAATCCAAGTAGATCCCTAGAAGCAAATTATTCCTCGAATAAGGAATTATTCATATACACAACAAGCTACAATACAACTATCAGATTCGAGTGATGCCTACTCATTTCAATTGGATGACATATCTCAGTTGAATGAAAATATCATAGGTTACTCTGTTACAAAATTCGGGTAACGTATATAAATGGTGACCTTAATTGATTTCTATGTCATCTTTCTGGATGCAGTCTGTGAACTTCATAGATCCTAGTAAAGCAATTCCAGTAAACTCAATCCAACCACCAATTTTATCAGCTTTTATTGAACGACTGATATTGTAAATCAACACATTTTACTCCAATTAAGTATAAACCAAATTTATTGAACAGCATTTTGTTTCAGACCATTGTAGAATATATGTTTGCAATACGCAAAATCATAACATTTTTCACATTGTTACAGTAGACTTTGGGTTACAGTTCTGAACTTTTTGTTTATTCCAGAAATAATTATCCATCATGTTACAAATGATCATGAAACACGGGCGTACATATAGTCTGTTTTCTGGTCTGTGAACCGGAATGCCGTTATTTGTGATAGTTCTCGGTATAGTTTACCATAACGAGAACCGTTCACTTCTTGACAATGGACACATGTACACACAGTCTTTTAATTCATGTTAGACTAGTAGAAACACTATAGTGAACAAACAATGTCATACCAGATTGATGGAATACGAACTCAAATATAAGATACATTGATAAAACTGCTATTAAGTTAATAATTTGGATGAATCTGTCATCCATGACAGAGTATAACTATCCACAAATCGATAAATGGAATCCAGTATAGTGATCAACAGTTCAACCCTATGGATAACGTCATACAAATTCGTTCTACTGTCATTAATATGTGAACCCTCAAGTATAAACACTCCATCATTTTACTTATCTAAACGGTTAGACATCATGAACACTCATTTTGGTATAAGTAGTGTCCCTCGAGGTAGAAACCCAGTTAATTACTGAAAAAATCTTGTTTTTCATTCTACACATGAATTATAATGAAGTGAATATTTGTAGACATTATTGTGGTCGAATTTGAATAGCTCCTAAATGATTTTTCAGAAGTATGTGTTGAGGTTCTTTGAGTGAGTAATCGAAATGAACATTAATTTACTGGAATATTGTCAGAAACACCTATGTACTCAAGAGGTTACTACGCTTTTGGATTCCAATTGCGTTAGCATAAACAAATATCTTCGAATAACGCAATTAAGAGCACACTTCACATCAAATGACGTACATTCCCACAAAATGATATTCAGCATCTTAACATAATAAGCGTTTAGCACAAAATATTTTCTATAGGTATCAATAATACACCTGTCCCTCAAAAGTTGTGAAATCATTCTTTCGAATTCCAATATACGTTCCTTTACGAATTACATCAAATGGTCAACATCGTTTCAATATCAACCTAGTTTCTGTTAGTCAACTCAAACCTTCTCTCTCAAAAAATAACAGTTTCGATGAAAAGTCACTGATTATTTTTTAAATGATCTTCAGAATCTCTACGAAGTGTCGTCACTGCTGTGGTCTGTTTTAAGATTTAGGAGTTGCAGTGTGCTTAAAATCAGAAGGCAAAGTGAAGCGGCAACTACAGTTTATTAGCGGATAGCGCAGATCACAAAGCTGTAAGCATTTCAAGCGAATTTGAATTGAAGAGACGAATATTTTTATGCGAGCACATACAGAGGCAAACTTATAATCAAATCGCATAAGGGCACAGCAAGGCAAAGCAGAGACTAATATTAGAATTCTAGTACATACCGATAGGTTATGAGTTGGAATCTCGTGGGGCGGGATCGTGGATGCGCACTGCTGAGGTATCCCACACTAGGACGAAACGGCCGTCCGGTGCTTCCAGGTTTTTCATTGTGGTCTAGCCTCAATCGAATCATGAATTTAACTACAAAATGAACGAATTGTTACTGTTCTAATAACCATTGTCTGTTAAGTAAGTTAATAAAAGGGCTTAACGAAAATTAATAATAATCGAAATTAGTTGTAGGATAGTTGCTATAATACAGTCATTTGCTATGAACGTACAACTAAATTGTTAGGATCGCGCTTAAGATACGCTCATGTTTGGATCTCATAAATCATCTCTTACATTTGTAAATGGTTCGTAATTATTTTCAAACATGATATACACTTTCTCAATTCGGTTAATTTTCATTCTATTACAGGTGATCAATATGTTTAACGAAATTAAAGTCACTGTAATTGACTTATTATCGAAAATCGACTGGCTGAATGAGAAAGATAAGGCATTTATGCAAGATAAGATTTCAAAACTGAGCATATTTGCCTTGTACTCCGATCAAAAGACTTCTCAAGAAAAAGAAAATCTTTCCACAGTATTCCAAGTAAGTTAACTACAGTTGTTTTACTATTGAAAAATGAATTATTATTGATACAACTATTTCATATTTTATTGAAAACTGGTTATAATATATGCTATCGTATATACCAGTGTTTTATGAACATAACGCACATTTCCAAACAACTTTGGTTGGACTTCATCATTACTTCTCAGAGGAACTTCTACTCACTGGTATATATTCTGCACTTCGGCACCTCAGATAGTAAACCATAAATAGTTTAAATATATGGATCGATTTATGGACCAATATTCTGGTTCTCAAAGACTTCACACCAATATAACCATAATTCAACTACTTCAGAGCATGTACAAAATCATCACCTACAATCTCGTAAGAGTACAAGGTTGTATGAGTGGCGAGATTTATATTCACACGAGGATTATGCTTTAGTCAAATCGTTGCGATAGCTTGGAGTTATAAATTGAGAAACGTCAACTTACGTGACAATGAAAAACTGAAATGTTGCTTCAACGACACTGCAATACCCCAAAAACCCTGAATCATAAATATTTACTTGATAAACTGAAAAACAGAGTGGTAAGCAAAGATGGCTAGTGGCTAACAGTGGAATCCAGGACGCGCGTCAAGTCCTATTTGGGACTCGTCAGCTGTATGTACCTGCATCTCAGAGTTGATGTTCACTCTGGGACTAGAACCCAGTACCTTTCACTTCAAATGCCATTTTCGTTATCCACTTGGCCACTGAGTCCTGATAGCCACTTGCTTGCGCAATGGAGTGAAGTTGAAATTTACTTAGTATTGTTTGTTTGGATCTTCCCATTGATGTTTTTAGGACTGCAACTGATCAGTCTCTAATTGGTACGCGTGTTTTATACGTTTTATACATTTTTTCAATGAACTGTAACGATGTTTTTTCACACAAATAATATTTAGTACCCGATGCGAGTGGACAATTATTACTTAAATGAATTTTACATCCGTAAAGCAAAATATATTGATACATTGAAAACTCGATTATTCAATTATAACCCGTAAGTTGTCATAATCTTACTAATATAAAAGCAATACTTTTTAACTAGAAAGATTTGAATATATTTTAATCATACTGATCTTATGGGTTGATGCCTTCTTCTGAATAGAAACCATTTTACCGTGAAATCAAATTGATTTTGTGAACTGATTGAATGTGTGTTTGGTTCGTTTAGACGTCTTCCCACTAAAACGTTTAACCTATATGCTAACTAAAATCTTAGAAAACAGCAGGACATAAATATTATTTTTCTTAAGCAAACTTTCTGTGCCTACATTATATTATTTAAAAACGTTATGAGGTAAGAAGATTTCATTCACTTTTATAACTCAAACGACAAATGCTATTTGTACATTATCCCTATTACTACCATCATATCATGTAACACCTTCACAGGAGATTTGACACTATTATAGTAGACCGAAATAACAAACTAAAATCTATGTAAAATATAACCACTAATGATCTAAATCTTTCAAATAACCATCCGTCTAGTCCCTTTAAAGATGAAATTAAACTTATTTTTTTTACTAAATATTTACCCATAATTTCGGATAGTTTATTTAAGAAAGGTTAGTACTTTAATGATATTCCATCTGAATATAAGAATCCATAATATGATCAGGTTATAAAAGAATTAAACCATTTTCTATTATTCAGACCTATTCTCTGAACTGACATAATTTGTTCAACACGATTGTTGTGTGCATGTAAATCACTTCACTTAACAATTTGTTAAATGTTTTCAAAGTTAATACGAGTCACCACTGAAATCTGTATGTTTTCGTGATTACGTAAATGAAACAAAAGTTACTCAAGAAAATAAATGTTAACATAGTGATTACTTGTTGCCTTTTGGTATAATACTATAGCAACTTTCCTATGTCAATTTAGATTATGATTAGATTTTGTTAAGCCCTTTTATTAACCTACTTAACAGACAATGTTACCTGAGCAGTAAGGATTCGTCTATTTATTCGTAGTATTATGATCACATGTGATAGCCTACTCACATATCTCTCTAGCTTAGATGTTAATCGCTTAAATATCAATCGATGAATTATCCTCTTTCCCATGGATATATGCGTTCGAATCCTATTAATAGCATTTTCACTGCCTTGCTGCGCCTTTAATCGACTTGGTCATAAATTCGCCTCCGTACTCTCTCGCTAGTATACATATTCGCCTCTCTACTCCAAACCCGCTTAATATGCTTATAACTTTGTTGTCTATGCTATCGGCTGGTAAAATATAGTTACCGCTTCTAATTGCTTTATATACTAATTTCCTCTTCGTACTAATCATATTATTTACCAGTGCTTATTACAAACCATGGGGATATTTAATATTTTGACATTCCGGCTTGTATGTTTTTCTCTTTATTAATGTTTAAAAGGGAATTAAAGGCGAATAAAGTACTAAAGTAAAAGCAATTAAAGTATTAAAGTGAAAATTCCCATTTTGACATTTGTTAATTAAAAAAGGAACGAATCGAGCGAAGAAATTTCTTTTCAATTAGTTTTTCATCATGGCTCTACACTAATATATATATGATTTACAATAATTAAATAACACTCATGGAGTAGATACGTTACGTAATGATTATATAATGACATCGATTATAAACTAACATTAATTGGAAGAGAAGGATTAATACTAATCAAAGTTATTATTCGAAAATCAAGCGTTTGCTACGTTGCATAATATATAAAAATGAGAAGTAGGAACAAAGTGTAATCGAGCCTGCCAGGATTCCTACTTCTCATTTTTATATATTATGCAACGTAGCAAACGCTTGATTTTCGAATAATAACTTTGATTAGTATTAATCCTTCTCTTCCAATTAATGTTAGTTTATAATCGATGTCATTATATAATCATTACGTAACGTATCTACTCCATGAGTGTTATTTAATTATTGTAAATCATATATATATTAGTGTAGAGCCATGATGAAAAACTAATTGAAAAGAAATTTCTTCGCTCGATTCGTTCCTTTTTTAATTAAAGTATTGTTTGTAAAGATCAGTATAAGTTCCTCGAAATATCATATTTAGCATATACATAATATAATGGAAAATGTTTTAAGAGCAGGCTTATCTAATAGTTATTAAAATCTTTGCTTGTTTATTTTACATTTCCGCATATTAACTTTATAACTATTAAAAAGTTGCAAGCGTGAGTCAATTGAAGCTAGACCACCAAGGAAAACCCGGAAGCACTGGACGGCCTATAGCAACCATCTACAATCAATTTCGACTATAGCCAATTTTGGTTAAGCCCTTTTTTATAACTTACTTAACAGACATTGTCATTTGGATAGTAACAATTTGCATATTCTTTGCACTGCAATAACACTAGAGCACATGACACTCTAGCCGAAATGTTGACTGCTTAAATATTATTCGATGACTCATACTCCTCCCCATATATGTACGCACACAAATATTATTATCAGCCTTTGTTTTGCTTTGCTGTGCCCTTATTAAATTTGACTATAAATTGCCTATGTAATTGCTTGCTATTTGCTCGCTCGCTCGCTTGCTCCTCGTTCGTTTCTTTCGCTTGTTTGCCTGTTCACTCGCTCGTTCATATTCGCTCAGGTGTTGTTAGCTTCCGAACCTGAGTCATTCGACAATAAACTGTAGTTGCTGCTATCCTTTGTCTTCTGATTTTACGCACCGTTAAGTTTAGAATTATAACGGTTATCGAAGTAAACGGTTAACGAATCGCGGCACTACATAATTGGAGGCCCCGCCGAACAAGCACGATGCAATAGAATTGGTTGCCTCGCCGAACGAACACGACGCAATACAATTGGTTGCCTCGCCGTACGAACACGACACTACAGAATTGGATGCCTCGACGAGCGAACACAAAACAATTTTCGACGAGATAATTTCATTTCGAAAATTCAGCGTACTCTGTTTCTATTCGAATTATTATCTGGATTATAATCATAATTGTGGATTTATTATATCACAATTTTAATCGCACGTACATTATCCCATAAACATTATTGAACTTAACAATAATATTCATAATAAATAACGATTATTCACGAACAATTGATATATTGGTGCAATTTAGTAAGTCTGTTCCATTTTATAAATTGTACCGTTTGTTATTATCATTTTTTTTCATCGATTCATTTCTCTCAGTGACAATTACGTTATATTCGCATACTATTTAATTTATTATTATTATTAGTAGTAATGTCTTTAAGTAACGAAACAATCGATCTTTCACAGTCACCATCCGTGGGAGTTATTAATGTTACTATTCCCTCTTTTAATGTTAATGATCCTCAACTCTGGTTTATTAGACTTGAAAATCACTTCGTAGCTAATCGTATTCTTTTACAGCGACATAAGTTCGGCTATGCAAGCTCACTACTTCCAGATGAAGTAGCAGACAAGGTACGAGAGGTCCTAACTAAGCCGGATGCGGTAAATCCGTACGACGTATTGAAACAGGCAGTAATAAAAGCTCTCTCTTTAAACGACCGGCAAGCTGTCGAGCAATTGCTCAGTGAAGTTCAAATCGGAGATAGAACGCCTTCGCAGTTAAAAATGTATATGAGCAACGTAATTGGAGACAGAAATGTGGATAAAAATATATTTTACCAGTTATGGTTGCGACGACTCCCACCGAATGTACAGCAGATCCTCGCTGTTGGAGATAGCGATGTAGACATAGACAACATCGCTAAAATAGCCGATAAGATTTACGAGAGAATGAAACACGCGACTCCACAAACGCTCAACTTCACAGTTGACGAAAGAATCGAGGCCTTGCAAAAGGAAATTAATGCGCTATGCCACAAATTAACGAGTCTAAATCACAACGACAGGAAAAGAAGTTGGTCGCGCAGCAGATCAAAAGATAGAAACCGATCATTTTCTAAGGGACTACCAGATCCTGCTATATGCTGGTACCATCAAACATTTGGGTACAGAGCTCGAAAATGCAGGTCTCCATACAAATTTAAACGATCCCAACGATTCTCAGTAACGACTACGAAAATCAACGCAGCTCCCACGAGCAATCGTTTATTCTATGTTCAGGACAGAGTAACGGGCGCGCAATTTTTAGTAGACACGGGAGCAGAGATAAGCGTCGTCCCTCCATTGAGCAACGAAAAACAAAATATCGATACTGCGCTAACTCTTAAAGCAGCGAATAGATCCGACATAAAGACATATGGCAGGCGAAAACTAACCTTGAATTTCGGCCGTAATATTTCTCTTCGCTGGGAATTTGTGATCGCTGATGTGTCCGTACCCATAATTGGTATCGATTTCTTAAAGAATTTTGACCTATTAGTAAATTCTCGACGAAACCAACTAGTGAATGGAGAACGCTCAGTAGTCATAAGAGGAGTGACCACCGATCATGTATCTATGAATTTAGTATTGTCGAAAGATAGGAACGAGCAATATAAGTCACTTCTAAATAAGTTCGCCGATTTAACGAGGTCATCATACGACAACAAAGATCTTAAACATACAGTACAGCACCATATCGTCACGAAAGGTCCACCGACTAGAGTAAGAGCGCGAAGGTTGGACCCAAAAAGGTTAAACATTGCAAAACGAGAATTCGAAAAACTAATGAAACTTGGTATCATAAGGCCATCTAATAGTCCCTGGACATCTCCGTTACATATGGTTCCCAAAAAGAATGGAGAAATTAGACCATGTGGAGATTATAGAGCCCTTAACAAGCAAACGATAGAAGATAGATACCCAGTGCCACATATTCACGACATCACTACCGAAATGGAAGGTGCTACGATTTTTTCGAAAATTGATCTTGTTCGGGCGTACTACCACATTCCAGTGGCCCCAGAAGACATACCGAAAACGGCCGTAATCACTCCATTTGGTTTATTTGAGTTTTTACGAATGCCATTTGGACTAACTAATGCAGCTCAAACCTTTCAGCGATTTATTGATCAGGTTGTTAGAGGTTTGACAGGGGTATACGCATATATTGATG